ATAGAGGATAATTTAAAGATCTTTTAATTTCGTTTTATGGAGTCATATAAATTATAACTCCAAAGAGCAAAATGAACTTCATTACCAGAGAGGTCACCCAACATATAAAGCTAAAGATAAATGTCTTGAGGAAGTTTCTAATCCAAGCTATTTACTATTCCAACCTGGAGAAAATTACCAGCTCTAATCTACTGTCCGTCTTTGCCCTCATAAGACTAGGGATTTTAATGCAAGCCTTTGGAAAAAGGTTTTGACTTGTTAACAATTTATTTGCATAATATGTTCAAAAGCTCTGTACCTATTAACTCGGTGAACAATTAGAGTGTATAACTACACTAGCACATCTGGTACGGAATTAACTCCAAAATGGAGATACAATACTCCGTAATTAATATTTGAAATAATTAATTAATCGTAATCTATAGTTATTCTCTTGCATATTTCATGCTCTTGCTTCAATGGCATTAAGGCAACATATTTGCTTTTCCAGCAAGATGGCCTTTGAGCTCGCCGTCTTGTAGATTGTCAATCCTTGAGCATTCTACCCAGCAGGCTGAGCCACGTTGTCATTCCTCTGATGGAAAATTTCATTTGAACTACAGAGGATTGCATCTAGTTTTTGGAGTTAATTCCATATCAAAGATCCTAGTGTAGTTTCCTTCTCTCAATTTATTATAGCACACATGCATGAGGATATAAAGCAAATGATATTTCACCATTCTACTTAGCATTAAGCTATATTTATCTTGACTGATATTCCATGTTAAATATGTAGCGCTATCAACCCATACAAAATCGACAAGAAATTCATGACAAAAGGAAAACAAATTAACCAAAAATCATGCCATACGTATTTTCAGTGTGAGCAAAATATCAAAATAGTAGCTAGGGCATGCATAGGAATACAAGAGTAACACAAAAGTACGTATCATTTGAAAATGTAAATTTTTGTAGTTAAGGATTAATTGCACATAGACCCCATGCAGCATGGGATCACTTACTACTCCCTAGTTAATTTTGGCGGATAGACCTGCTGAGTGAGATTTGTTGACTCTTTTATCCTGGGAACTAGTAAACACGAATTTCACTTGGGGTAGATTACATGGGGAGGACGGAGTCCACAATACCTTAGAGTGCTTTTATTGTTTTTGAAGAAATTACAGAAACTCAGAAGAATCAGGCAAACCAGGCGGCGGTCGACCGGTCCGGTCGACCGCATTCGTGCACAAAGCTTACTGTGCGACAGAAAGGAGGTCGGTCGACCGGGTCAGTCGACCGCAGGTGTTTCGGTCGACCGGTGCGGTCGACCGAGGAGCTCTCTGGATTTTTGGGTTTCTGCTGGAAGGTGGTCGGTCGACCGGGCCGGTCGACCGGAATTGATCGCGGTCGACCGTGCCGGTCGACCGACGTCGTTTTGGGCTAGGCTTTCAGGTTTTTGACCCGTTTCGGTTTGAAATCTATATATACCCTAAACCTGATTTGTTAGGGAATCTGAAGGACGATTTTGAGCAGCCTCTAAGAGAGATTTGTTGCATCCAATTGTGAGAGAGCTTTGAGAGATCTAGAGCTTTGTTTTAGGGTTTGGTCTGAGAGATTTGTAACCCTATTTGTATTATCTTGATTTCTAGTAGAAAGAACTCCCCCCCTCCTTGCCCCGTGGACGTAGGCAACTTGCCGAACCACGTAAATTCTTGTTCTTGCTATGATTGTGGTTTGCATATTATTTGTGGTTTAGTTCGAGTTATTGTTCGTGTTGCCCTAGAAAGCTTCCGCCGCGCACAACAATTGGTATCAGAGCTAGATCGACAACATGGGAGATGCAAGCACGTCAGGTTCGTCTCTAACAAAGGCGATACAGAGTCTGAGCATCAATAACACGAAGATTGATGTTCCGAAGTTCGATGGCAAGATCAATTTTGGATTGTGGAGGTGTCAGGTGATGGATGCTTTGGATGCACAGAATTTGGAGGAGACTCTTGAGTTAAAAGAGAAACCCGCTGAGTTGGAGGATAAGGTTTGGAGAAAGATGAACAGTAGAGCTTGTGGTGTTATTAGGTCATGCTTGACGCCGGATCTTATTTATGATGTTATGAACGAGACGTCGGCGAAGAAGATGTGGGAAACACTCAATGAGAAATATCTTACGAAGAGCATTGAGAATCGGCTTCACTTGAAGAAGAGATTTTACCAGTTCAAGATGAAGAGAGGGGTTTCCATCAGGGAGCATGTCAACAATTTCACTAAGCTACTTTCAGATATGGCCAATGTTGATATTATAGTTGAGGATGAAGACAAGGCGATGCTACTTCTGTGTTCGTTGCCCGAAGATGATTATGGTACGTTCGTTCTCACTATGATCAATGGAAGAACTACAGTTAGCTACAAGGAGATGACCTCAGCTTTGGTGAACTATGAGTTGAGGAAGAGTGATGTTGAACCCTCCGAGAAGGCATCGGGAGATGCATTAGCAGTTCGAGGCCGAGATCCAAACCGTCGTCAGTTCAACCGCTCAAAGTCAAAGAATAGGAGTGCCTATAAGAGTGTTGGTAGAAATCAATGTCGGTATTGTAAAGAAGAAGGACATTGGAAGATTGACTGCCCAAAGTGGAAAGAAAAAGCCGGAAAGAATAAGGGGAAAGCTGCACAAGCTTCAGAAGTGAATGTTGCAAAAGCTATTGGTGAGCATTCAGATTCAGATTCTTCAGGCTATTCATGCCCTGCTTTACCGTCGGTTTGCTATGCGGATTCCACGGAGTGGATGATGGATTCGGGAGCTACATATCACATCTGCCCTAAGAGGGAGTGGTTTTCTAGCTTTGAGGAGCTGGAAAGAGGGGATGTCGTGCTTATGGGTAATGATCACGTATGCCCTATTGGTGGTATTGGTTCAGTCCGGATCAGGATGCATGATGGTGTAGTGAGGGAATTGAAGGAAGTGAGGTTCGTACCGCAGTTGACGAAGAACATCATTTCTCTTGGGACTTTGGAGGCAGCAGGATATCGAGTGATCTTAGAGGATGCTACAGTGAAGGTCACGAAGGGTTCTATGGTGGTGATGCGAGGTGTCAGGGAAAACTACCTATACTACTTGAAGGGCAAGACAGTTACAGGGGGTCTGGCAGCTTCTATCACTACAGAGGAGGACACTACCACCTTATGGCACATGAGACTTGGACACACAGGAGATAAGTCCCTACAGTCATTGGCTAAACAGGGGCTATTGAAAGGTGCTAAGACCTGCAAGATGGAATTGTGTGAGCATTGTGTACTTGGGAAGAAGACTAGAGTGAAGTTCGGCACCGCTGTTCATAACACCCAAGGTACATTGGATTATATTCACACGGACGTTTGGGGTCCTTCCAAGAACACATCTCTTGGTGGGGCCAACTATTTTGTCACTTTCATTGATGATTATTCCAGGAGGAATTGGGTATACCCGATGAAGCATAAACATCAGGTCCTGGATATTTTTGTGGAGTGGAAAAAGAAAGTGGAGCTGCAGACAGGTAGAAAGGTGAAGACTCTACGTTCAGATAACGGTGGAGAGTACAAGAGTGATCCGTTTCTGCAGTTTTGCCGGGATCACGGCATTAGAAGACACTTCACAGTTCGAGAGACACCGCAACAGAACGGGGTGGCTGAGAGATTGAACCGTACCTTGCTGGAGAAGGTGCGGTGTATGATGACGCAGAGTGGATTGCCTAGATCTTTTTGGGCCGAGGCGTTGGTTTATGCGAGCCATCTTGTGAACAGGTTGCCGTGCACTGCGATAGACGGGAAGACTCCTTTGGAGCGTTGGTTTGGTTCGGAGGCTAGTGACTATGAGTCGCTTCGGATATTCGGGTGTCCAGCTTATTATCATGTCAGTGATGGTAAATTAAATCCGAGAGCGAGGAAAGCAGTCTTTGTGGGATTTAGAGATGGAGTCAAAGGCTTCAAGTTATGGGATCCACAGGACAAGAAGATAGTTATTAGCAGAGATGTCACATTTGACGAGGCGTACATGATGAGGCCTCGAGCCCCTCAGCAGGTGGAGGGAGACCAGACAGGAGAGATATCGCAGCAGGTGGAGGATGATGTGACTCCACCCACTCCAGAGAACACTGTATCCATTGAGGCTCCTACAGAGGTGACACTGGGAGGAGATGAGATGACAGATGGGCAGATACAGGATATAGTAGATCATGGGACTCAGGAACAGGGTCATGTTCAGAGGACCATTGCAGCAGATAGACCGAGGAGAGAGATTCGTCAGCCAGCTAGGTATAATGATGTCATGGTCGCATATGCATTATCAGTGGAGGTCGTTGATGATATGGTCCCAGCCATATTCAAGGAGGCAGAGTCTAGCCCCGATTCGATCAGGTGGAGGGAAGCTATGGAGGAGGAGATGCTATCTCTTCAGAAGAACGATACTTGGACACTTGCACATCTACCTAAGGGTAAGAAAGCTATTGGTTGCAAGTGGGTATATGCGAAGAAGGAGGGATCTTCTATTGGGGACATTCGGTTCAAAGCCAGATTAGTTGCCAAGGGATATGCACAGCTTGAGGGCATTGATTACAACGAGGTATTTTCACCCGTTGTGAAGCATTCGTCGATTCGAATTTTATTGGCGTTGGTGGCACAGTTGGATTTGGATTTGGTCCAGATGGATGTGAAGACAGCCTTTCTACACGGTGATTTAGATGAGGAGATCTACATGACACAACCACAGGGTTTCAAAGCTGCAGGAAAGGAAAATTTGGTTTGTAAGCTGAAGAAGTCTCTTTATGGTTTGAAGCAGTCACCAAGACAGTGGTATAAGAGATTCGAC